TTAAGGTGGTTAGGCCATAAGCAGCATGTTTTCTTCTTTTCCTCAAGCTTGTAGTCCTGCTCTGAGGCCATACTGCGGGCGAAACTTTCAACTGAATTTGCTGCTTCCCTCCCAGTTGCTTCTAGCAGGCCCCACAGTTCACTTCTGGTGCCTTACAAGCCCCATCCTTAAGTTTCCAGCTTCAGTCCAAACTTCTGGCCTCTTACCTTTCCCTGAGTGAGTCAGTTGTGCACAAAATAAACATCATTGTCAAATGGGAATTTAACTCATTTTTGGCATTGCATTAGTGATGAGTATTCAAAAATGTAAATAAAAAGGTTGGAAACCAACCAACCAAACAAACAAATCATCTGGACCATAACCTAGTCCTTTTGTTCAGAACCATTTCCAGCTTTGAGTCCACTGTGTTGTAATGTACCAGGTAAAATTTGCATTTTTCATTTAAATTTGTTCTTACTGAAATGCAATCTAAACTTTCTCAAATTAATCAGAAACCCTTTGATTTCTAGTTTTGTTCTTTATGATACTGAACAGCCTTGTATCACCCACATATTAAATACACACACTTGCATTTTCACCTCTTCTGCCATACAGGTCAGCTGAACAGAACTGCACCTTTTGGAGTGGCCAGACCCCAAATTCAATTTTAGTAGTAAATTTTTGGTAACTACGCAGTCTAGGAGGCTGTGCAGCCACCTATCCTACTATCCCGCTGATGTGGAAATTCGGAGGACCCTGGTCTATTGAGAATGAGTTGCCAGTAGTTAAGCATTTTCCTTGATCTAAACCCTTCTGCTTGCTTGAGATAAACCAGGAACTTGAATTCTTATTCCCCATGCCCACAGGAGAATGTTTTGAACCCTGGTGGCTGGGTATTAGGTGGGAGAGGTCTCAGCCTGGGCTTTTACAGCCAGTTCAGTCCGTGTCAGAGCTGAAGGGTTTCACCAGAGGTGCAGGAGGTGGGTTGCCAAAGTGGTATTGTTCTAAGGAAGTAGAGCAGCTTGGGGGGCAGGAGGAGGAGGGAGTTGTGTTTGTGAATTTTAATTTTTTCCTTGGTTTTTAACTGGCAGATCTGGATTCAAGCCTTTGTTTTATGTTAAGCAGGAAAGATTTGAAAACAGGCAGATAAGCCTTTCTTTCTTCTGATCTTTACATTTCCTGCAGGTTAAAAATTCTTGCATAGTTTATTGCCTTTTGTGAGTGCCATTATAAAAGCTCAAACTTTTCCCTTGCCTGAAAGTCAAAATATTATAGTGTTGCAAGTGTTCATAGCACGGGGTATATTCTGATGCTCACAGGTCTGCAGAATATCCATTTACGAAATGCATGCCCTTGGATTCAGTGGCACTATGCTAATTGGCTTTGCACTCTGCAGTCAGTCCCCTTTTCCTATCTCAAGGTACTTTGGAAGGCTTCTAAAAGGGATGTGCTGTACCACCTTTATCCTTTTCTGTGGATTTAACACAAAATATCTATGTACAGTTAGCTTTTCCCTCCTGTTAAAGGATGGTGAAGTCTTAAGATATACCTTGTCCATTTCTGTAGCTAATTATGTGCCTGCAGGATAGGCTTTTTCTGTTGGAAGTTAAGTCTTTGTGTCTGTTCCTTCTGGAGATGTGTTTCAGTGGATAAATCTCCTTTTAACTTGTGCTGTGTGATCTTAGTGAAATTCAGCTAATTCAACTCAATGAGCAATGTTTTGTCTGGATAAAAAAACAAACTAGAAACATTATTCACTCTCTTCCCTTTTATGCTAGTAAGCTGTGGCCAGAAATGACCTGTACATAGTGAAGCTCCTTGTGGAAGTGCTTTCAGACCTTACTGTGCTTTTCCCTCTTCCCCATACTACAATTTTTTTTTTTTTTTAATAAAAAATTTCAGTTTTCTTACTTGTGTTGTTGGTTGGTTTTTAGTATAGTGCAACCAGTTACAAGAACAGATTTCCATATTTCAGTGAAGTGGTACCTGTTTGGCTAATGACTAAGAGGGTAAAAGGATGTGGTGGCAGCTGTTTCCTCTGCTTGTATTTTGGAAGTAACTGACATAAGACATTGCAGTCTAAGCAGAAGTTCAGAGATGCAAATCCCAGACAGATGCAGCTTAGTTATTGCAGTTAAAGCTGGAAGAATAGGGGTGAGGAAGGGATTTGTGGCTTAATGATGTGCTTCCTATGGTTCGTGCTGAAGTGTGGATGTTTCTTGGATCCTATTCTTAACTATTCAACAACTTTCAGAGAAAGTAAAATGTGTGGTTTTTTGGCTTTTTCTTTTGTTGCTTTTGTTTGTGGTTTTGGTTTGTTTGTTTTGTTGTGCTTTTTTGTTTTGTTTTTTTTTTTTTTTTTTGTGGTTTTTTTTTTTGGGGGGGGGGGAGGAGTGGAATGTTGGGGTTTTTTTTGTTTTTTCCATACCTTGCTCCCAGAACATAAACACCATAAAACAGCAACCCAAACCATGGTGCTAATAAATTGCAAGGTTTGATTTTTGTGTAGAATTTTGAGGGACTTTATTTTGTGTTTTATTAAAAGCTTGTCAGAAACATTGTTTTAGAATCATGGTTACTTTTATGACTGAAAGAAACTTACTGTCAAAGAATCCTTGGTAAATTATCACTAGGTAAGAAAATGCTTTGTATTAATTAAAATCCAGAAAGCGACTGTATCCTGGGCTGCATCAAAAGGAATGTGACCAGCAGGTTGAAGGAGGTGATCCTGCCCCTTTTGCTCTCATGAGACCCAGGAGTATTGTGTACAGTTCTGGTGTCCTCAACATAAGAAAGACATGTTGCTGTTGGAACAAGACCAGAGGAGGGCCATGGGAATGTTAAGGGGTTTAAATTTTAACTGTGGAAATTAAGGTTAGATATAAGGCAGAAGTTCTTTACTTGTAAGGGTGGTGAGGCACTGGAATGGGTTGCCCAAGGAAATTGTGAATGTTCCATCCCTGGCAGGGTTCAAGGCCAGGCTGGACAGAGCTTTGGCTGACATGGTTTAGTGTGAGGTGTCCCTGCCATGGCGGGGGGGGTTGGAACTTGGTGATCTTAAGGTCCTTTCCAACCCTAACTATTCCAACCCTAACTTGGTAACATAAGAAAAGCAACTGGCCTGTAAATTAGCTAGTTATAAAAAATTACCTGAGTGTTGTGGTTATCTTTCAAGTGAAGGAAAAGAGGGCAGAGTTTTGATTATACAGTATAACTGAGGACTTAAGAAATACTAATTTCCATGTGAAGGTACCAACTTTATTCCATAGTTGTATTTGGATGCAGCACATCTTCTGCATCGAAGGGCAAGAATCTTAATTGCGCAAGGGTAAAATTAAAAGCAGATAGTAGTGAACAAACATGTAATCAGAGCAATTATAATTAATTTCCAAATTGTTATCATAAGTCTACTTTCTTCTTCTCAAATCACCTCTTCTCTTCAGTCAGGGTGTAACATCCACTGCTGTTCTGCTATAACCTCTCAGTAAAACAAATACTTTGTTCATCTGGTAAACCATCAGGAAAATTCTTAAACCTCCTCAACAGAGGTATAACTGAAAGAACAGTACCTCTGTCCAGGGTGTAAAAAATGCAGCATGAAAACTGAGTGATAAATTAAGATATATCATTGTATGGAAAGGTAAAGACAATTCATCTATTTTAGACTTTGAATGGCATCAGTAATGCCAGTGATGAGGTGGAAAGAGAACAGAAGTCAAAAATGCTTCCTAAGACAACAGAGGTCAAAAATGGGACTTTTCTCTTTTATGATGGTCTCTTGTATCTGCTAATGCAGACTATGAATATCCAAAAAGAGTAAATAAACTTGAAATCAGAAATAATATGGTATTACTTGATGTGCTACTACCTTTTGATTTTGGGGTCTGAGAGGGTAGCAACAATTCTGCTGCTTATACTTAGTTTTCTGCATTTTACTTCACTATGGAACCTGGATCTAGTCTAAATGATAAATGTTTTGACAGTAAAAATAATTATCTTTATGAATAATCTACATCTAGCCACTCACAGCTCTGCTGGAAAAATGCAGTCTACCATAATCTATCACTGGATCAACTACTCTGCTAGCATGAGTAATGCATGGCTTTGCCAAACAGCCTCCAGGGGCCAGTCCTATGTTATTGCTGGCCTGTCATAATTTTTTGATGTAGTTTTTACAGGTATTGTTCTACTGTCCTCTCAGAAGTTAAGACATTTCCAGAGGCATCTGAAAACAAGAAACCACTTTCAGGTATGAATTCATCTTGATTTTCATCAGTGAAGCTGGCTATTTTCTATACAACAGAACATGCACAGTCTTTTGGAGAACTTTGTAAGGAGAAAGAAACGGGAGAGTATCATCTTGCTTAGTGCAAGTCAGATGGAGCTAGAAAATAGCTTGGACAGAGAAGTATTAGGGGAAACATGAGAAACCACTCTACACTAGAAACTACTGCACCAAGAAACTTTTCCCTGGAGTCTGGTTTATATGGTAACTCCGCAGTCCCAAATGCCTTTAACTCTAAATGCCAGCTTAAAGTGTACCACAATACTACTTTCCTTCAGCCACTACAGGTCATGCCTCTTGTTTAGCTTCCATTCTGACCTGCATTTCTTGTAGTGCTCAGCAACTGTGCATCAGTTCTCTGTGGGTTTGTTTTCCAGAAGTGTGTATTTTTAATTCTGAAGAAGAGTAGTTTTTAAGTTCTGCTTTACCCAGCAGACTTGACACCCCCATCTCCTTTTTAGCTCAGCATTTATTTACCACATGCCACTCAATGACGGCAAAGTATGCATGTACTCTTATGAAACCATAGTAGTGTCACAAAAAGTTTCACCTCTTAGCACTCTCTAATACTGGTGTGTGACCACTTCAAAAGCAGATCATTCTGCAAACATTCAGAAATCTTATGGTGTTGATAATCTGTCAGAGCAGTGTTAAGAGTAATGGAGAAGTAGACTTATTACTCCCAGTGTTCTTAAGGCACACAAATAGAGGTAATGAAACTGCAGTTTACCCAAACTCAAGCAAATTAACAAAAAAATTTATTAAAAGTATTCAATATAGCACCACACAAAAGGTACACTGTGCTCTGTGTTGCGTTTATAGAACATGCCAGAGCACTTTCAAGCTAGAAAAACTAATGTAAAAAGCTTTATCAGCAGAGCTTACCTTTTACTATTTAGAGAAGCTATTCTGAAAGAACCACAACTTTTGTATGTAATGGTTTAATGGTCTTCCAGGCAGATTAAGCACTGTTCCCTTACCCATCAGTTCTCTTTCATCTTCCAGGATGAGCCTTGTTCAAAAAAATGTCACTAAAACCAAGATGTTTTCAGGAAGAGCCTTTGGTCCATAACTCTTACCAGCAGATCCAACTGACAACATACTAGTCAGCTGCTAAATTCTGTTTCTTAAAAAAAATAACAGAATTTTGATCAATGGTAATGGTGTGAATTTGGCTCTAGGAATCAATGCCAGGCAAATTGAGGAAGATTTGGAATCAGCTCTTAATTGTGTCTTGGGTGCAAAGATAAGGAGTACATACTTGATAATATTAGCGATAAATTGCATCATAGAAAAAAAAGGGTGATTTTGAAGGGTCATTTACTCCCTCTCCTCTTTCAGTACAGATTCTTATACTATAATTAAAATTATTGAAATTATTTCAAATATAAAGTGCTTCTAAAACCCATGGCAGGGGCTTGGAACTAGGTAAATCTTTAAGGTCCCTTCCAAGCCAAACCATTCTATTTCATTCTAACATATTTATTGGTCCCTCATATTCCTTATAACTAAACTTTGATTCTTAGCATGAGGTGGTCAGATTAAGTTCTGTATATTACTTGCTACACTATTACACTTACATTAAATTGGCTTTTTACTTTTTTGTAGTATAGATCAACTGGAAATATTTATATTTTGTCGGAATATGGAACACACAGATGTTTCAGAACATCCTTTATTTGATGCATCTTGCAGTTAGAGAAAGGCCAGTTTGCATAAAGGGAACCTTAGCAAGTCAACAATAGTAATAGAGCCATAGTCAAACAAAAGTGTGGAATGGACCCAGTGCTAATGCATATAAAGAGAGAGTATTGAAAAACTTTCTAGGCTTCCAGCTTCACTGATTCCAGTATGGAAAGTGCTTCTTTATACTCTTCAGCTTCTTCCAATTCTTTTTCTTTTTCCTGGAATCAAAAGCAAAATTACTGAGTACTTTGAAAATAACTGATATATTACATTTAAGAAGGTAAGGGGGGGGGGGGGAAGGTAAAAACAGGCTGGGAGAAGGCTGAAGCACTCAACAACTTTTTTGTTTCAGTCTTCACTGGCAGCCTCTCTTCCCTCACCTCTCAAGTGGACAGACCACAAGACAGGGATTGGGGGAGCAAAGCCACTCCCACTGTAAGTGAAGGTCAGGTTCTTGACCACCTGAAGAATCCAAACCTACATAAGTCTATGGGACCTGACCAGATGCATCCCAGAGTCCCAAGGGAACTGGCTGATGTAGTTGCCACACCAGTCTCCCTGACATTTGAAAAGTCCTGGCAGCCCGGTGAAGTCCTGGAGACTGGAAAATAGGAAACATTGCACCCATTTTTAAAAGGGTAGAAAAGAAGGAACCTGGGAACTAGCAACCTCTCAGCCTCACCTCTGTGCCCGCAGAGACCATGAAACAAATCCTCCTAGAAGCCACACTAAGGCCCATGGAGAAGTGGAGGGTGATTAAAGACAGCCAGCATGGCTTCATCAAGGGCAGTTCCTGCCTGACCAACCTAGTGGCCTTCTGTGGTGGAGTGACTACATCAGTGGATAAGGCAAAAGCTACAGATGTCATCTATGTGGACTTCTGTAAAGCCTTTGACATGCTTCCCACAACATCCTTCTCTTTAAATCGGAGAGGTATGGATTTGATGGATGACCTGTTTGGTGGATGAGGAATTTGTTGGATAATCGTACCACCCAGAGGGGTAGCAGTCATTAGCTCAATTTCCAAATAGAGATCAGTGAAAAGACGGTGAAAATATACCACTAGAAAGTTGATTTTAATAAAACCATTGAAGGTAGGTAAGCACAGAAAGCAGTTCTTGAGGACTTTTAAATTCTTAACCATAACTACTCCATTCCCTGTTTTAAGTTTGTACAGCACACACTGTATGGATCAATAGCACCACTTCTGCATGATGCTGAAATCCAGACCAGTTAACCCTTAAGTAACTAGTTCAATAACTAGTACAGGCATACTACCTGAGGATAAGACACCTTAAGTTTTCCTTTGAGAAGGGACTTGCATTTCAGCCATCAAATGTGTGTGGGGCTTAATTTAGGGTATGTATTTTTAGCCTCACAGTCGCATTTACATTCGTAGCCGATTTCTTGATGAGAAGGCAGCTTTTTAAAATAAGCATCATGATGTCTAAACTTAGTATAATTTTAGTGATACTATTTGTACAAGAAACTCTTTATTCCTGCAGGTATCGTATCTTAAAAATGTGGCACTAGTGCTCACATCACTAGCAAAATGTAAAGCAGTACTTGGCAAGGACTTTGATGTCTTGTTTCTTATTCATAGCGCAATAAAAGTATTCTGAATGTTTCGGTTCACTAGAAGCATGTTATGTACATCTACACTGTTTAGAAAACTACCTAAAGTAGGCGAACTCTTTTTTTCTGATTATGTAACTAGTACAGAAATTCAGAGTCCATTCTAGCAGTTCAATATATAAGAGTATGTTGAGTGTACATTCCATTAAAGACAGCTTCTAAAATTCTAACACACACAGGTTTTACAGACTGAAGACCAAGTCTCCAAAGACAGTTATCTAAAATGAAATATTGGTATGTTATAGGATACTAGTCTTGGGACCTATAAAAAGTAATTCGTCAGTCCTAATTTGCTGCAGTTGCGCTGCAGACAAGCATATTTATCCGAGTTCATCAAGGAAGAGCAGCATTTCTTGATCAGTGGGTTATGGTGCCATACTTACTAGTAGCTGAGTAAGATCTGCATGTGCGGCTTCTAATCTGCGCTGGCAGTCTGGAATCATCATCTGCGACTCTTGTAAGAGCTCAATCTATGAAAATCAGAAGCCAATGAGATAAGAATGTATTCCAGATAAGAACATTTATTTTTTAAGGTAAGTCTTTACTCTGAAAAATCAATCTAGTCATCATCTAGGAATTCAGAACAGTTGTACCTATTTCTGGAACAGGCTTTTTTATTAAAAGACACTCAGCATAATTGCTTAAAACTCTGTTAATTCATAGGACACTTCCATATACTTTGTGCTTAATTAAAGTATTAGGTGTGAAAAATTATTTAGAATATTTTTCTCTTGAAAAAAAAAAAGTGTTGCCTGGTAAGCTTTCTGTACAGCATTTGTTAAAAAGGCTATTTAAAACAAACTTTCTCCCGCTGTCATGAAGCAGCTTCATCCAAAATGGGATCAGCTGGTTATATAAATATCTCCTGCATCTTTTGGGTAATAAAGAAAAACAGTGTTCAGATAATACCACATAGAGATAATTACTGCATGAAAAAAGTTATTGAGTTATTGATCACATTGTGTGCACACTGCAGGAGGCTCTGACTGAAAGACAAAGGTAAAGAAAAATGAAAAGCAAAGACCAGCAGGCTCATATTTTTGATGCTTATCATGCATAAAAAGTTATTACTTATCCTTGTGCTTCATTTTAGGAGAAAGATTATTCTCACCATGCACTTTGAACAAAATTACTAAACTGGCACCCCACTGAATCTGAAAATCCTGCCTCCTCCTAAAGAAAACAACTACAGAGTTAAACAAGGGCACATTTATTTCATGGAACATTTCTGGATCCGAAATCAAACCACTAAGAAGAAAAGGTGTGCAGAGTTGTTCAGTAACATTAAATCTATTTAGAAATGAAAATCTGTTAGATATTTAAATATGAAAGCTCCTCTGCATCCAGGACAACCTGCAACAGAAGGCGTTCCCTTTAAATGACTTACTTCATTCTGTCATTACTATGTTGTATTCTCCTTTCAGTATTAATGCATATAGGAAGGCCCTCTGTAGTAAGACATTATCACCGTATTTTTTAAGTGTCATATATTTAAGTTCTTAGTTCAAGTACTTTTTAAGAGAAAGGGTTTAAAAACTTTGTTTCCAGTTTTCTTTCAGAGGATCTAGGGTAAAACCTGTCTGATGATGCAAAGATGGGTGACAAATGTTAAAAAAAAAAAAACAACAAAAAACCCACAAAGTTCTAGGTCTTGTTTGTATTATCACTTTTCTTTTACCCATTCATTGTTGGACTATTAAAAGTAAGACTGGCAACTCTGCATATTACACTTTCAGCAGTTAAGGAGTAAATAAAGGTTTTTAACTTCCATAGAACGAGGTGTATGGTAAACTGCTTGAGATGATGCCTTCTGCTTTATGTAGTAAAAATGTGTTCTATAAGGAATACCCACACAAGTGGGAGACAACCCTCTAGATGTAATGCCTCAGTATTTCAAAAGAGCTTTCTCTGCAGCTCTTCTTAGCTGAGGACTAATCTTGTTTCTTCTACAGCAGATTGCTTTAGGATATAAAAGGCATGAAGTCTGGAAACCAAAATATACTTACACCTGCCTAGATAAAAAGGAAAACAGCCTTTAGAAAACAAGGGGAAAAAAGTTCACAGTAATGATCTCCCATCATCTAGTCTCTTTCAGATGATACATGAGGCAATAGAACCAACATTTGAAGGCATTTTTAATACCAGATATATGTTAGGAATAGAATTCTGTACTTAGTACAGAAACTTCCAAGTTGCTAGCTTTAAAGGAAGCAAACCTTACTTGTTAAGGATGCTGTCTAAATAGATACATGGGAGCGTTAGACTCTTCATAAGCATTTCAACTGCCTCTTTACCTAACCAAATAGAGCTGAAGTTCAGATTATTAAACAAAAACTATCTCTTTAAAAAATATGAAAATAACCAGACTGAAACTGTATGTTTCATCTAACCTTATTGTACTTGATTGGTGAGAGGAATGAACCTTTGTTTGTACCAGTCAGGTGGGGGCAGAAAGAAGGAAAAACGTAAAAAGCCAACTGAACTGGAATATTTCTCTGAGACAGAGAATATATAGACATTTTAAATTGAAAAAGTTACAGAACATTACTATGTTTCTTTCAGAGAGCACGTCTCCAGTATAAAATTAGCAACAAATTATCATCTTCTACAGTAAGTTTCCAAAACAACACACACTGGTTTCAAATGTATTTAACTGTTTCAGGAGACACTCTACCTTTCACTCAACAAAGCAAGAGAACTACTGCTGTTTTCACTGATACTTGTAAAAACCTGTGTGTTAGCAAGATGTACTTTATGTACTCCTGTGTACACTTTGTCATGCAGATACTAAATTATGTTAGATCCATTGGATACTTAATTCATTAGGAGACGACATCCTCAAGGAGTAATTTGGAACTGTAGGATAACTTTAAAAAAAGTAAAAAATTATCAGTAAAAATTCTGGCAGTTAACAGTGAATCTACAATGCCACTGAAAGGAAACGAGGAGTTAGTACTTCCGGCTTTTCTCACATTCAGTAGCCTAAAAGCATTAGCTGGGAAAAGATGTTTATTTATGTATGAAACACCTCAACAACCACAGAAATACATAAAACTACTGGTTCCTATCATTAGTCTGCATTCTTAAGTGATTACAGTGTGAAAAGTTTCTAGTACAGGTAAAGTCTTCATACACTGATAATCATTACAACTGTGAAGAAACTAAGTCTTCATTATGAAATAAAACTCCACACAGAGATAAAATTGCACTACTTACTGCTACCAGTCAGGGCTCTTCGTGACCCTCCACAGAAGTATATGCAGAATTACACCTGGTGGAATATATCAAGTCTCAATATTTTTTCCTAATTTTTTCAAACTTGATAAAATTTTGTATAGAATACTTTTTAATAAAATTATTTTCAATTTAGTATTTTATTAAATTACTTAATAAACCTTTTTCCTACAAGTCTTCTAGTTGAATATAAGTGTGATTTTGAGATAGGAAAGTTTTTATTTCATAGTCTACTTTTCCCCAAATACTGCTCTTCAATTTTTATGGTCTTTTTTCTACCATTTTGGTTCAAATTAAGTTCTAAATTTCTCATCTGCCTTAATAGATAAAAAACAGACAATAGCAGAGTGATGTTCAGGTTGTTGTTGATTTGTTGCTGGTTGTTTTTTGTTGTGTTTTTTTTCCACATAAGCTGTGGTGGAAACAAAAGGGCTTCCTTGCCTCAAAATGCTAGAGATTCTTTCACTCTGATATACAACCTACCACAAGTAGCTCTCACCCAGCTCAGACTCAGCTGAAGTACACGAATTGCAACTTGCAAGCAGTGCACATACAACCTGTGCCCAGGACAATAGCAATATAGGGGTGTTATAGGTGAATAGCAACTGCTGACCCCTCAGGGATATGGTACAACATTGACTGACTTAAAAGGTCTGGCTTTATTGAAAGCATAGTGTTACCATGGTGGGAGCCACAGGACACTGATGATAATCAAAATGGGGAATGCAGCAGAGCCCTGCTTGGGGGTGAACAGTAAAACATGCACTGATTAACCTGTCATACACATACAATGGCCTGTTTTGCTCTTCAGTGAGCTTGCTGAGGTATGGCAGGTGCCACTGTCCAAATTCCAACCCACCATCATGCTGCTGCCTGTACAAAGGTGGGAGCAGATGGGGGGGAAGCAACATACCCTGGTTTACCATAACAATGAGATAACACAGGCCTGGGACTCTGCATATTCAGATGTGGGGAAGAGAACTATCGTGGGTTACCATAACAGTCTTCTCATGCCCTCCAATAGGTTCTTCAAGTAATAATCTTGGTCAGTGAATACCAGCACTGTGATAAAACTGTCCTTTATGTTTCTCTGATGTTGAATCTGCTCCTTGTTAAGCAAGTCTTTCTGTACAGTGTTAACAACTTCCAACTACCCCAGCTGGTCACTACCTCTGCTGGAGACCACTGGAATTCACAGAAACAAGCTGCCCCACTGCATAAGGAGTTATGAGAAAAATACTTAGTCAAACTCAACTCTTGTTCTACAAAGGGACTGATCCCTCAGTACAGGCCAAACACAACCTAAAGTCTACATATGCTGTAGGGACAGCAATACTAATTTTAAAGTACAGTTTTCCATAGTCACTTGTGTACTGTTAAACCATATGTTCTACTGCAGAGTTGTAATTAGTAAGCTAAATAAAAATATTATTGCATTAAAAGGTAAGCATCTCTCCTTTAACCCTGGATTGATAAGTATGTACATACCTGATTTAGCCAATACCTCATTTTTTCATTATTGAAAGAAAGACTACAACCATATTTTTAAATACATAGTTATTCAGATTAGGAATTATTAACTAAAAGCAATTCTTAAAATGTGTAACCACAGATTTTTTTTTTTCCTGAAGAACATCTCAAAGTATTAACTCTATCCAAAACACGGTTCTGATCAAGCTCTCCTGTTAATATGTAATTTTCTTTGATTCTATAAAAAGAGTGTGCATTCTTTCTGAGCCTACAAATTCTTCATAACCTGAAATATTACCAACTTCCAGAATGAAAAGTGCACTAAAAGAAGAAGAAGAACTGAAGGTGTCATTGAGGAAACTGATTGCTTTCAAAGTGAATCAGGCAATTTCTGAATGAATCGAGACTGTTCTCTGTGAAGGCTTTTGTCATTGGTCTCTGAGAATACCTTCAGGTACTGTGCAACATTTCATTTCACAGAAGAAGTTCACAGCCTCTGCTGGTTTTGACTTTGATGATATCTTGCAGGTCACTGCAGAAATACCACGGTGCAGTCAAATAATCTGATAAATGTGGGACACTAAAAATGAGAATTGCATTCATTAGTTCTTGTTAGCACCAGCGGATTTTCAGAAAGGCTACTGTTCAGTAGGATCTTGGTGTCTCAGACCATGGTGAGGCAGAAGAACAGCTCAGCTCTATAAATACAATTCTTTATTTGTATACAAATTCTTTATTTGCATTTCTTTCCTACAGCATAACAAAAGCAAGGCTAGTCATACACACATGAACTGAAATCTGAACTTATTAAAAAAAGTTGGTTTAGCTTGTTTTAAAAGGTCTTTCTCCTCTCTTTTTTATTTTTATATTTGAGTATACTGAAACCTACTTTTCCATCATTTAAAAATGAAGATTGGAGAACAGTAGGTTACATTTTATAATGTATAATAGTAAAAAAGTTAAAATAATCTTAATTTACAGTTTCAGTTTCTCTGAAGACTTAAGAGAAAACAACTGGGAAATGCTTGGAAAAAGACCCAATCGTAGTCAAAAGATTTAGTTGAAAGAATATAAAGGCCACAGTTAAGCACGTGTCACTCTTCAGTAAAGAATAAACACGAATCTCCCAAACCCAAGCATTTTCCCAGTTAGAAGGAAACTTGCCACTCTTTCTCCTGCCAAAAGGCTATATAACAACCATCTGCAGACACTATCCTTTGAAAACTTCCAAGAACAATTTAGTCGTTTAGTCATATTGTAACAGTGACATCAAAATGTACTCCTGAACAGATTAAACTATAGCATACACCTTGCTAGTTGGAAACTTCACTACAAACTCTAACATCTGGTAGGAGCAGTTGCATACCCATTGCTCTCTCTTTTAGGTCCATGATTTAACAAAAGGGACACTAGTATACTCACTCAGGAGTTGAAATGTTTCATGTTCGTATTAATTATCAAACAGTCTCACTTCATTGTAACACCTGGACTTACCAGCAAGCAAGCACTTAGTTTACCTAAATGCCAGACCATGTATGTATGGCCTCATACACACTGTTAGTGAGTGACAGCCATCCTGAAACCAAGTACTACATAATCCATAAGGTCTCCTTATAGTTTAATAGCTCTGGAGTACAGGAAGCTCTACAAATTCTTACTATGACTTTTATAATTGACACAATTTTAGTCTAGTACTTATATAACAGGAGTCTGGAAAAAGGTAGATTATTTTATTTAAGGATGACTATTGTTAAATGAAAGCAAAGAAGGATTTTATAAAACAAGTTTTAGGATATTTTACCTGCTTCTTAATTCCATAATCATCAGATGCTTCAGCTTTCATTTTTTTAATCTTTTCTTCTTGCTGTTTTACTTCATTTTCATACATAACTTTTTCTTTTGCCAATCTGCAATTAAATCAAGTGATTGTGTTAATCTGGTTATATTACAGTAATAAGTTACACTATTGATAACACAATTCTGAAAGTTGCAGACCTATAAGGTAATGAACAGTTTTACTAAATAAAGATTCTTAACCACTGCAAAAAACTGCATCTAGGAAATGCTAAGTTTAGCTGTGATGCATAATGATGCTTATGAGGATAATTTAAATTGAAAGTATTCTTAAAGATTCTGTGTAGATTCACCCATATTGAATATCCTTAGAAAGCTATATCCTGGTACTTAATTTCAAATACGTAACAGAAATAGCTAAGATGCCTTGTAGATTGGATAAGTGCTAACAAAGGCAGTAGTACAGAGAAGAAAGCAATCTATCTCAGAAGTGTCCTCACATCACAGGTAGCCAAAATAAACAATATGAAATGTCTGCAAAGAAAACACTGTTATCATCAGCTATTAGATCAGCACTTGCCAGACCTTCTCAATATCATCCAGGTTCTGACAGTTTCGCAAGTGTCCTATATTGTTCCAGTCAGCTGGTGTTTCCTCTTTCATATTCAATACTAAATAACACCACTACACCTTCATTATTAGACAAATGACAGACACCCTTCTTAGTAGTAACACTGAAAAAAGTTATAACGTGTAACTGAAAAGAAAAAGCCCTTTTAGGTTCAAAAACTGTGATCCCAGAATATTTTTCTCCTGATTACCACATTTCATGCCATTAAGTGCATTACTTCCCATACTAGTTTTCATACAAAACAATGTAAAATAAAATTCTGAAATTACATAGTAGCCTTAATCTTGTGTTCCTTTGAATATTTTCTCCATTTACCTTGATGCTGATTTGGGGGTTATACACAAAATGACAGTTCCATAATTTCAATCATAGCCATTTTGTTTATGGCCTCTCTTTCAAAGGACTAGAGTCCATCTTTGAATCCTAATAATGGACCCATACTTCAGAATAGAATGCTTTTTTTTTTTGCTAACAAGCAAAATTAAATGTTGAGAGCAATGTAAATACTTCTGGATGTCAGAAGGGAATATTAAGGTGAAGTCTAGTCTGATGCCTTACAGTAATTTTTACACTGCAACCCATTATCCAACTTTATTATTGCTTGTTAGAATCATAGAATCATAGAATAATTAGGGTTGGAAAGGAGCTGTGCCTTACTTCTTGAGGTTGGCATCAGCCCACCTCACAAGCGTGTCGAGGTCCCTCTGGATGGCTTTCCTTCCCTCCAGGGTATCAACCGAACCACACAGCTTGGTGTCATCAGCAAACTTGCTGAGGGCGCACTCAATCCCTCTGTCCATGTCAGCAACAAAGATGTTGAACAAGATCAGTCCCAATACCAATCACTTGTTACTGGTCTCCAGCTGGACATTGAGCCATTGACTACAACTCTCTGCGTGCGGCCATGCAGCCAGTTCTTTATCCACCGAGTGGTCCATCCATCAAATTGATGTCGCTCCAATTTAGAGACAAGAATGTCATGCGGGATGGTGTCGAATGCAATTGTTACTTCAATTTTGCTGTTGCATCTTCCACTTTATTGCTTATGTTCATTAGGTAAACACTGGATCACGTAATGCTAGATCTGAACCAAAACATGCTCCTGGATCTTGGGAATTACAAAGTAATTTCTGATCAGTTAATTCAAGACCAAACTAAACATTGATATGCTACTGCAAACCTGAGAGCATGCCAAAGAAAATCCTTCCCAAACAAGAATAAGCATCAGATCAGCCCACGTAAGATTGTTTAAGGAGGACTTAACAGCCAAAATGGATATAATTACATTCAAGAAGCAAAAAATATATTACACAAATGAAAACAGGATAAATAAAGGCCTAGTAGAGAGAGCTTCATGGTCATGTTAGCGCACTAGAGCAAATCAATTCTTAATTTGTCACAGTTAAGTACCCTATTAGAATTTCTAGTGCTGAGGATGGGCAGAATGGTACTGGGGTGACAAGAACCTTTTATGAAGTGAAGCTGCTATAAAAGCATCACTGCAGTAGTATCTTGAGAAAAATTCCAAAGAGCATGTACTGATATTGCAACAGCAGGAACCTTCCCTGCTTTTATTAGGGCTTACATCAATCAAAAAAGTTTTTGCTAAAATAGCCTTAAGCTATGGCTCCACAACAGATGACATAAGTTAGGCTGTGACAACATGCACCTGAACTCATCTCAACGCTCATGGAGTCACACCATCAGAAAGGGCCTTCAGCCTTACAAAGAACCTTTAAGCAGCATACAGAGCATGTACTGCAGGTATCGATAAGACCAGTTTCTACAAGTCAGCCAAGTACTGGCTTTGAGAACAGTACTAGGGAAAGACAACCTAATTACTACTAATAAAGACACTAAATCAGTGGCTGTAATTTCAACTACTGGAACTAGCTCCAGCATTAGCATCAGCAGATATTGTTTTAATAGAGGATTAGTTAATTGTTTGATCAAGGTTACTTGATTTAAATCCAGATAGTATTACTTGGTTTGCTATTTTTAGGTTCCAAAAAAGTTAATTTTAATCAACCTATGAGACACATGATTTTTTTTTTTGAATGAGAACAGCAAAGAAGATCAGGGAAAGATAGGATTAAATGCAGCTTTTATGTCAATTTGCATACTGAAGTGTGCATGCCATTGAAACTGAAGGCAACTTACAATCACTAAACCCATCATTTTTAATTATTTTCTTAGCTAAAAAAAAAAGCACAATGTTTTTCATTACTTGTGTTTTCACATTATATTTTGATATTCTCATGTTGCTCTATGCACACTAACTTTTAAAACTGATTGATATTCAGTTTTCCTTACTCTTACCAAACAGGAAAGGCCCACATGTTCTAGCCTTGGTTAGAACTTAATTTAACTTGATTTTTTGCCCATATTTCTCATATTTTAATACTTAAGAATTGCATCCATATTTATCTACCTATTTCTAGTTCTGTAGTAATTGTACATTTCAGAAGCAGAACTTGAAACATTCTACTTTCAAAAAAGGAACACAAGACACCTGAAGTATGAGACAATTTTCTGTGAAAATTTTCCACTGAGCTTTTCTCCGTAATCAAAATGATCCAATTTAATGTTCCATTTATCATTTGTAAGATTGGGATGCTGATGTTTAATGCTATCAAGTTTTGATTTGAAAACATTTCCTGTATTAGACTGTTTGTCTAAATGTCATGAAGGCATTTCTCCTGAATATGTAGCCTGGGGAGATACTGAATTAAATCAGTAACTTGCTTTCAAAATGGAAGTGGAATTTCATAATGCAGTAATACTACCCCTTACTCACCACCTGAAAATTTCAACAGAATTCTGCACAAAAAATATCCACATCATAATTTGTTCCCCTCTTCTTCCTTGACCATTTATCTATCTAGAAACAGGATTTGGGGTTTTTTGTTTGTTTGTTTAAGGGTTTTTTTTGGGGGTGCAGTGGTGGTCGCTGATTTTTCTTGTTTTAAAATCTGTTGCATTTCAAGTACACAAGTCATTTATAGATGAAAAAAAACCTACAACCATACAAACCACTACAGGCATAACTTTAGTAGACATTCTATAGTGTCATAAGAAACACAAGCTTAATAACTTTAACTGAAAGAATCCAAAATAAAAGGAATCAATGTAGATTACTTCCTATCCTAATTATACTTGCATATGACATATGTACATACATAACTTGTATATTACACATATATATTTGTATATGTGCAATAAGCTTTTATTCTACAATAGACAGTTCCTTAAAAAAATCTTTGTAATTTTAAACAATCTGTCACCTGGTACCCATCTGAAACCCTATTGTTAGCCTTATTTCAGCTACACAATATCCTGCATACTATAATGGGCTCTGCAAATAAACCAAACATTTATCATCAGAAAGTTCTACACATTGTAAGGCACACTGTGTTAATAGATACTGTCAGCTCTGCTACTGGTTCTAAGTTAGGTATTTAAATCTCCATTTTAAGGGTAGTTGTTTCCTCTTCTGTAAAAAAGAGTGTGTTTTTTAGTAATCTTCTTTAAAGAGAACTTGGACAGACACCAATAGCAGACAAGGGTACTCACCCTTTATAAAAGTTGAATCTTAACTTTGGTCACAAAATAGAAATTCTCTTCATTTATGGCTTTTTTTTTTTTTTTTGAGTGCACACATTACAACAGGTATCCTCTCAGCTATCTTAAAATGCTACTGCATTTTTCAAATTCTCCTGAAGTACAACTATGACATATGGTAAGTGGAAATGAAGTCACCAGACACACTGCCTTTAATATAAAACAGAACTTTAACTGCAACAAGAGTGACTTAAAGTGTAATACACAGAATACAAAGGATGGTTCAATTAAGCAATACCTGTAAGATGACTGGGTAGCCCACATTCCCAGAATCAATGTGTAAATTGTGGTAGACGAGTTCAGAGCAAATATTTCACTCAGAACAGTGTGTACAAAGCTCCATAAAGCATATTATAGTGCAAAGGTCAGTCATGAACTGACCTCAAAAATAACTACAGCTTTGCTTCAACACTTCAAAAAATTCCTTCTTGTATCCCCTCAAACTCAAAAGGGTAGGAGATGACATTCATTCTTTCCAACGTATTACTTGGATAGACCTGGATATTGAGGCGTATTTTATACAGATGAAAGCTGAAATAAGACTTCATGTAGTTGAAAACAAGGTGTCCTTTTTAGCTTTTTAACTTCAAATATTTCATAGAAGCCTGACACTGTGTGTGCACCTTTCTTGAATTCTTGGTGGAGATTTTTACATTGTGTGTCACAGATACTGGAAAAGCCAAGAATTCTTCCATACTTCTTTGCTGTGTTTGAAGCTTGTTTGCACAAAAATATAAAGTCTTGCCAGAGTAATGGACAGAAATACCAAAATAAACATTTGTTTTGCTCGTTCACCATGTCCCAAAATATCTGACCCAAACCTGTTTTTATCCCATAACCTGGTTTGTCAATAATACCCAG